TTTGGTAATTTGCGGTTTGTTATTTGTCTCAGTAGCCAATTCCTTCATTACGTATTTACTTTCATTTTCCGTATTATATGGTAAGTAAAATTCAAAATATACCATATTTCGATTTTGCATTTAGTGTTAAACAGTTTCAATTTTGACAATTTCAGGCTCTGGTGTTGGGATTTGCTTTTCTGCTAATTCATTAGCCTTAAATACATATTTCAATAAACGACGTCGGCGTGCAGTGTCTCTTTCCTGGACAGTGGCAGCTTTAGGACCAATAGTGACACCATATTTGATCACAATGCTTTTACCACAATATGGTGTCCAGGGCACAGTACTTTTGGCAGCTGGACTTTCCATGCATGCGTTGGTATCCGCTCTGATACTTCAACCAGCTCAGAGGCATGCTAAGCAAAATGTAAGAATAGATCTACCATGATTATATACAATAAGTATTTGTTATATTTATTTACTTTCTGCAGTAAAATTATTCAGGGTGTAAAATGTAATCAATAATCTTATATGAGATAAAACGTTTTCAAGCTTCCATTTTTTTTAATAATCAACAGGTTCACATCACTGAAGAAGGATTGAAAAATGAACAATTATCAGAAAGCTATTATAAAGAAAATTCGAATGGATGCAACACCCCTCTGGCAAGTCGAGCAAGTAAGAGCAACTTCTCGAGTCAATATTTTTCAAACGATTTCGTAGAAAGCACTACCCCAATGTTGTCAAGAGCAAATGATGGCTGGTATTCTTCTTTATCAAGTTCGAGATTATCATTGGTATCAAAAAAATATACCAACGATGTAGATTCAGGTGGAACTTTGATTCCAAAATCATCATTTAGCAATCTCACTGAGAACAGATCTAAGAAAGCATCAATAAACAATTTAGCCGAATTGCGGTTGGAAAAAAGTCGAGATACATTGACAATGCCAGATCACAAATTGAAACTGCAGAGATCTTACAGTGGAACTTCAACAACTAACGAGGAAGATAATGTCAGATCATCTACAAATCCTGTTAATAATAAAAATAATATTCCAGAACAGAGATCAAGAAAAAGTAGCTTAGTTCAGAACATAAACCTAAAAGACAAAAACGTCATAGCGTGACAATCAAGATAGAAGAATCTGAGATAGAAGATTGTCCTAGCAATAAAGCTCCACAAGATTTACAAGATAATGAAAAGTTAGCACTGTCTATAATTCAGAACAGCGAATCGGAAAAACATCAATATGAAAACAAGTTAAAACCTAACGGTTATAAAAATAAAAATAACTTTAATGATGGTACTACGTTAGACACGAAGAGTTCGTGTGTATCGAAACATAATAAATCAGAGGAAAAAGACGTTCTAATCGAAGCATCTAAAAGGTTAGAGATATATGCATCAGATTTCAATTCTAGCAAGAAAAATACTTCGCCATATGAAGAACGTCTTATAAAAAATGAAGAAGATGATTTAAAAGTAGTAAAAGTGCACCACACATTGTGGCAAAAAATTAAGATATTTTTTGATTTAGATCTTTTGAAGGATTTCACATATGTAAATCTAATGATTGGCATCAACATTGCTAACTTTGCTGAGATCAATTTTTCAATATTAACGCCATTCATTCTTGCCGACTTCGGATTAGAAAAAGGACAAATTGCAATAGTCATGTCTCTATTAGGAGGGATGGACATATTAGTGAGGTTTCTAATACCATTTGCAACCGAGCGCATTCCATGGCAAAACAAAAGTTTCTTTCTATTTGGAGTTTTGGGAATGGCGTTTGGAAGATTAGGTAAGTCAGAAATAAAGAGAATCGCAATAAACAAAAAACAACAAATATCTTGCATATACTCTTGAATTTAGTGTTGGCATATGTGTTAACAACGTAAACATCAATAAAAAATATTTTTATGAAAGATAATGTTAAACACCATACGTTTCGCCTATAGTCCTGACCTGCATTCAGGAGCAAAAATATAAATACTATCCTAATAGTCCGATCAATTTACGCATTCAACGTTACAAAAATTCATAATGAGCTGAAACTTGATAAAATTGCTTAAAATACAATTATTATTCCTCGTCGTTCTGTTGCGAGTTAAAAAATTGGCACAAGGTCAAAGGCGAAAAAAATGTTTTATTCGCAATTTTCAGCTAAATGATCAGCCTTAACGCAAAATTACTTCAGGCGAAATAGAAGAGCATAAAATTATCTACAAAACATGTCCATTTAGCTGAAAATCGCAAAAAATTATTTTGCGACCTTGTGCAATTTTTTTAGCTCGCACCGGAACTAGAAGGACTTTTAAGATTTTTTTTATAATTGTCTTTTAAGCAATTTGCCAAGTTACAGCCCATTATGAATTAGTGTACCCTTCACCCTGATTTTAGGTCTAAATGGACCGGGCTATAATGAGAAAAAACATTTAACCGACTTGATGATATATGCCATTCATCACTGATTCCGTATAATTTATTTCAGTGTTAATATATTTCCACTCGTATCCTGTGATTTTGTGTGCATGCGCATGGATTGGCCTAAACAAGGCCTTGCGGACAGTCTTCACCTACCTCGTTATTGCTAGTCATGTTCCTTTGCAGAGGCTGCCTGCTGCTACCGGTATACAATTATTATTCGCTGGTCTGATGTATACAATTGCTGGTCCAGTCGTTGGTAAGTAAACAGACTCCACGAGCAAAAAAGGGAGTAGAGTAAATTAACGTGCCTGAAATTATGCGAGAATCTAGTTAATGTTGATTAAATAAGACAAAATTTTAATTTTTTGTGAATGATAATTACCGTTATCTTAGTATCTAAATTAAAAAATTAAAAGCTCTAGTTGTTTTCAGAATTAATTTAGAAATTACAAGTTCAAGTTTAAACTTGAATTTAACTGCTTCCAAAATTAATCTTAAGCCCGGTGCACACGACGCCAGATTTCCTGATTAGTGCATGCCGGACAGTTTGTTACCTAGCAACGATATGATAAATCATAATTTACGATATGATAAATCATAATTTACTATCTTGCCCGACATATTTTACGATCTTGCCAGACAGATTTCACGTTTAAGCTCTCTATTCACAACGGCAGCATCCCTAACATATTTTCTGTCTATAACCGTTGCCTAGTAACGTCGGAAACTGATTTCACAACAACTTCTGTCCTCGAAAATTCCTGCCGTAAGTATTTTACGCATAGAGCAAATCCTATTCGGCGATGGATGAACTGTTTTTTGGCCGATAGTTTCAGTGTTCAATGAGAAAGTTGTATTTTGTCACGTAAATATCAAAGTGTACGTGATTCATGTGTTTTGGAAGCGTTCAGTTTTTATTTTGTGAATAGCTATTGTGTATATATAGCAATGTGAAAAAATGATTAGTTTTTGGGAAACGAAGTTCAGTATATTTAAAATATTCAAATTTCCGAAAAAATTCAAATATGCATTTTTTTCAAATTTTCGTAATTTTATCTGAAATATCATAAAATATGAATTGTGAAATTTACAGAATATATTCATAATAATCTATTTGAAAATACACAAAATTATTATTAATCATAAAATAAGTGAAAATCTAGCCCAAAATTCTTGCTCACCTTACCAGAAAGCTTGACAGAAATCCTGTATAAAGAAATACTGGCGTCGTGGGCACTGGAATTTACTTAAAACCTGAATATAAAGTATATCACAGTTTCAAAACCTAGATTTTTTTATTCTATTTAGAATTTTTTTCTGAAACCAATAAATATATCAATAATTTCAAACATATATGTTCTTTCATACACAAACAGAGACCAAAACTTCGAAATTACTCATTTGGTAGAACAAAATTCTCGTATCATAACTGAGAGTTGTAACAATTAGGAAATGAGACTGAGTCCATAAAGTTTTCGGATCAGTATTTACACAAAACAATTTTGAGTTCAGAAACTAAGTGTCCAGTTGCAAATACTTCCCGATATGTGTAACTAAACGACTTGATCAATAAGAATTGAGATTTAGTTACTTTTACTTTGTGACAGAATAATTTTGTAAATTTGACGCTGTCCATTATTCGAATCTATGATGGATTTTGATATTTAAACCCTATTTTGCATACCTATAATATTTTAGTATATTCACTAACAATAAGACTGCCCTACATCACAAGACTAAAACTTTTTTTTTATAGACATAATATTTTCATATTCCAGTCAGACAGGAGTGCCTGGTGTAAAAGATTATAAGCCTTGCATTTAGTCAGCTATTTTTTTATCTCTTCAATCTCTTTCATCTTCAATTTCTTTATAATATTTTATTTTTTTTTTTTTTAATAATTGTTATCACTAGTCATCTTGATATTGCTCCGAAGATCATAATAAATTTATGTTGCGCTCCATATGACATTATCTCTCATTTTCTATCTTCTATTGCGTTCAATATGAAAATTTTCGTGTTGTCTAGTGTAATTTTCATGTATATCTTGATTTATGTCTGATGTTGTACTAGTTTTTATTCTGTTATATTTCATTAAAATCATTATATAATTTTATTACCCACTAATCACAGAATTCTCGACTGATATTTTTCAAACGGTTTTTGAATTTTCGAAGACTTTTTTCAAGATTTTTTGCGAAAATTTTTGCATTTTTCAGCTGATAACGGTTCGGCGCAAAGTTGGCCACAAAACTAATCAACGCGAGCCTTTTTTGGTGCCAAACGATTCAGAATGACTTGTAACGATAGAAATACATAAAATTAACGAATTGGATTATCCGACGAAAACATAATTTCCTGCCTTTGAAATGCCCAGAAAGGCAACTTTCAGCATTCCATATGCATTTGTAACTATTCGTAATAAATGTGTTGACCAATGCGCTTGTGATGATCAATAATTATGTGTGATAAATTGTTTTCCGAATTAAAATAATAAGAGATATTTTCTATACAGTTTTAAAAATTTCAGGATGGATTCGCGATACGACTGATTACCCAACGACATTGCACTGTCTCAATATTCTAACATATGCAACTGCAATCTCTTGGATAGGCGAGTCTTGGTACAGAAAACGTTCTGCATCCTCCAGTTGTAAATAAATTATATTTATATATTTATATATATATTAGGTTAAAGTTAGTCTCTTAACGTGATTCCATTAAAAGTTGTACAAATAGAATCTAAGTTTTGTACTAAAATCATTATATTTCAGGTGATTCTTGATAACAATATATTATAAATATATAATATTTATATACTATGTATATTAAACAAAACTTCATTTCATCGCCGAAATTGTTATATCATATCTAAATAAATATTTTATTCAGCGGAACGATGTTTTATTTAATATGGAATTCAAATTATATCATTTTATATTTTAAATAACAATAAATACTGTACAGTGAATTGTTTACCATAACCTTAAATATTTATACTCATTCAAATTGATATTAAACATTTATATATAAATATATATGCATGAATACACTCATGCATATTTATACAACATATTACACTAATATATTTCTTTAATAAATTATAACTGACAAATATATTGTTTTACCTTATATGTAAAAAAAGACCCTTTTATATAATTATCTTAACACACAACATTATATAAAACAGTTTTTATATTGTAAATAACTTAGAAATAGATATTTAATTTTTACATTCATTTTTCCTATAAATTAATAAATTAATATATTTTTCATTTTTTCGAAAATAAATTATATTTTGCATGTACGATTAATTTTATATTTCTTTATAATACAAGGGTTATCACTTATTATCCAAAATTTATTTAGGGAAATTGGTATTTGGTTCACAAAGTAAACCAAAACCTAGCGTTTTATTAAAAAAATATATTGAATTTTAAATTATTTTCGTTGGAATAAAATCAAATTATTTTATTATTATTCTTAACGCAGCGGTTTCCAAGCCGTGGGGCTCTAGACTGTTATAAGGGGGGCGCAACTGTTTCCCAATCTGTTTCCAAAATACTATTTTCGAAAATAAACCAAAATTTTTGAATTGATATAAATAAGAAACAAAATTAAAATTAGTTTTTATGCATATTTTTACATAATATAGCATATTAATTTGAAGTCTAATAATATCAGTTGAGACTTTATAAAATTTAATTTTTGATAAATTTTGAAGAAAGGGGGGTCAAAAAAAATTCTTATTAGAGCGGGGGGAGGGGGTGTGGAGCGGTGCTTAAAAGGTTAGAAACTGAACGTATTCCATGTCCAAAATTTAGACTTTATCAATACCTTGGTTAATTTATTTTTTTAAATTCCATCGAAGTTTTTATCAAAGTATATTTATTATTATTTATGGAATTATTTTATAGAATAAAAAACAAAAAGAAAATTAGTTTTTATACATAATATGGCATATCAATTTATAATCTGATAATATCAGTGGGGTGGGGTGTGGCGCGGTGGGGTGTGGCGCGGTGCGAAAAAGGTTGGAAACCACTGAACGTGTATCAAGTCCGAAATTTAGACTTTACCAATACCTTGGTTAATTTATTTTTTAAATTCCATCGAAGTTTTTCTCAAAGAATATTTATTTAACATACAAATGCATACAATGTGGAATGTGATAAATGCTTGATCACAACATACATATAGGTAATACTAATATATTGTTAAGGCCATAACGAACGAGAAAAAAATTAAATATGTACATAGTTTTGTACTTATGCATTTCAAATTCAAATTGAAGTATTTGTGAACTTGAAGATAATGTATTTTTTTCGCCTAAAAAATGAAATCAAAAATCGTTTCTACATACACTATATTTCCATTGATTTCAATTCTCAAAATTGAAACGTTGGAGATATAGATCATAGATACATCAAATCAGATAATCGAATATCAAGCTCTGTGTGAAATAAGTTATTTAAAAAAGATTGAAAAAATGGAATACATACATGGAAAATAAAAGCAAACAAATTGATTGAATTAAATGAAATGAAATTTTTAAGATGAATATAACATTAAGCATATATTATCGAAATTTTCCAAAAAAAATAATCTAAATAAATTAAGTTTTCAAATAAATCTGTGTCATATGAATATTAATATTATATTATATAATTAGATTTCTGTATCAAACATATGAATATTAATATTCATATGTATGATACAAAAACCAATTTAATTAGATTATTTTTATTATTTATTTTGAAAAATTTAAAATATATATGCCTAATTTTATTTATCTTAATTAAGATGTTTCCGAATTAAATAGCAAAAAAGAGACCCCTGATTAATCTAATTTTAGCATATTAAGAACAATCACGTAATATTTAAAAATTAATCAAGTAATATGTGATATTACGCCTCAGCATACACTAATAAAATTAGCCTAACAATATAATAGCAGTTGTAAGTATGATCAATTTTTTTTTTAAATAGAAGACTTGAACCTTTCTTGAATTGTTTTCAATGAATATTAATCACAACATGAACAAGATGTCTTTCACAACTATGCATATGTAAATATTTTACATCATATATAATAAATATTGAATATTGTTTATTCAATATTTATTATATGTGATGTAAAACATTGCCAATAAATAGCTAATATATTTAAGAAAAGCTTTTTGTGAAACCGAATATGATTATAGTAGGAGTCATACCACGGTTTTGTAAATTTGAGAACATTGACCATTAACGCAGTTGGTTATGTATAATTGTAATATACATATACAAAACACAAATCTATATATATATATATATATATATATATATATATATATATATATTCTAATAGATTTATTATATAACGTGTTTTTTACTAAAAAATATATTAATGTTGAGTAGATATCTTTCATGTTGAAAAGAAGCTTGTCGAAAGCTTTAGATTAAGCTCGATAGCTTATGAGGCTAATATAATCAAATATTATCGTTTCAATGAACATTATTATTAGTATTATTTAACAACACTCAGTCATACATTTATATCATAACACCACTACTATCCGATAATAAAAACAATGTTAACTATACCGTATAATTCCCATTAAAATGTAAACGAGATTTCCTATTAATGTAGTTATATAAATAGAACAAATAATAAAGTAAATTTTCAAATAATAGACCAGTCACATATACACTCATTTACGTGATATTTCATAAATTTTACTAAATACCTTATAAGAATACAATAACTATCCATTTATCAAGAATAAAATATTTTATGTCCCTATTTAAAATCTATGATTTTGAATCTCTACCCTTACAATTAACAAGTGCACTGTGAGCACAGAATTATGTGGTCCTAAACAACGCCTTGAGTGGATTTCATTAATTTGTGATTTGCGATCATTAATAATTCGATTACGCATTCATTCATTCAAAATTTGCCACAAATTTATGTTGCAAATAAATAACATTATCAATTCAATGTTGAAATAATTGAGCGTCTTTTCAATTTCATAACACTAATATCAAAAAATGTTTCAAATTATTATATGAAAAAAACATAATACATTACTAGAAGGCAGTGAATTTAGTCTGAAAAGTGATCATTTTTTATTGCACATGCTTAATAAATAAAGTTATTTTATTAAACATAACCCAGTACAAACCATAACAAAGAATTGCTTGCATATTATTAAAAAAGTAGATAACAAATAAACAGTGTTAGTTGTTAATGGCAATAAAAATAAAAATGATAATTACAGATATAATAAAAAAAAAGCTATCATCCATAGCAATAAACTCGCATTATGGAATAAACGTACGTATTAATTTCACAGATTACTTTCAAAAAGTTCAAATACTTTCAAATCATTAATACTATCACATATTCAAAATATGTTTTTAGAAATACAAATTAAATGAACTGATTTGCATATTAAAAACATGCAAGAAGTCTTTGCTATATGTATCTGTGTATAAACTTCACTTTTATTTAAATCATGTAAGGAAATTTATATATCGCAAATTTATAATTCAGAACAACTTATCCATGCTTCTTTATAACTTAGCAGTTAAACATATTTTTTAAAGATATTTGTACATAATTATCTGTAATTGGTCCATTTATTAACAGACATTTAATAAATATGCCAATAATAGCCATAATGTATGATTTTAATAAATTGGAAATATAAATAAAAAATTGTGTTAGTAGCTTTGCTATTTCCATTATATCTATGCTTTGAGTTCATATTTAAAATGTATTTTTTATCCTTTCTGGATATTTTCTTTTATAAAAATATTTATGGACGGAGAACATGAAACTTCATATTTTACAATTAATGTGCATGTCTATAATTATAAAAATACTTTCTATATAATAAATTTACTGTGCCCCAGAGCCAAAATATTTTAATGAATGCTTCACTAGCAAAGATTTTTCTCAAATTCTAATATTTGAACTGACAGATTTAAATATCTGCAAGCAATACTATAAAATGAGTTCTATTTATTACTCAATCAGAATTTATTATTTTTTATTATAATATATATTTTTGTTTATTATTTTCAATAATTAATTAATGAGCAACATGTTTTAAGAATATATTAGACGTGTGAAATATTTTAACATGATTTTCTGGAGCAGTTCCTTGAAGTTTAATCATCTCCATTTATAATACAAATTTATCCCATTAAATGTCGATAAATATATAATCTTACTTATAAAAAAACAGGAATTGGTGCAAATTATATTTGCAATAATAAAGTTTTTTAAACTCTCATTTTTTATCACCGACCTTTCAGGTTTATAATAAATAACGGAATGTTGAATCACTGTAGACTTATTAGTATAAGGCCCATCACTTAATAAAGGTTTTACTCGATTATAAAAAACAATTTTAATAATTAATGGAATTAGATTTTTTCTTAATATGGAATGCAGTAAATAAAATGAAATTTGTACAAATTATCACAAATTATTAGTTGCACAGTTGATTGAGAATTGATGAAAATTGTTGTTCATTACAATTAGTATTACATATGTATTGAATCATATGTAATACAAGATCATCAAATCAATATGTAATACTGTAGCATCAAATGTAACTGGTGATATAACACATAAATATTAGTGATGCAAAAATAATCAAGAAACAAGTTTCTACTCACCCCTTCAGAGCACTTAGGTATCTTTGCCAGATAATTATTAATTTTACTGATTCTTCATACAACACTTGTTAAGCTAAAGAATTATTCTAAACATTAGAATTTCAATTTTAAAAATTTGAATCTATAATTTGCTAATCCAGTTACTGATGACTTTTGCTTAACAAATGTGAATTGAACTCATAAACATTATTACACTGTTCACCGCATATATTGCATTTCCAAGGATTACTCTCAGAATGGCATCCTTTGTGCAGAAAATATAGAGTTTGATCTGGAAAATTTATGTTACAAAACAAACACATCAAACCTGAACTGGAACCTTGTGACATCCATTGTGTGTTTAATGTGTCCTCATGCTCATTTATTGCCGCCGAACTGCTGTTATTGACTATTTCCATAGATCGGTTAGCATTTCGACTGTGAACACGAGCCGATATTCTCCGTTTTAGATCTTCACGCAACAATGATTTCAAAGGAGATACCTAAAAAATCAAACAAAACATGCTGAATTTAGCACATAATAGTCCAAGCATTATTTAGGTATAAATAGTTAATAACAAAATCCACAAATTATCAAACTGTAGGATAACTTTTAACTTCATGACAAGGTTGTAAATGAAAATAGTAAATCCACGCAAGATGCATTTTTTATAAGTAATTTCTGCTTGAATTATGAAAATTTCTTCATAATTCATAAGATTAATTTTCTTGCTAAAATTCATCAAGATACTCATATGATAAAAATAATGTATCCTAAATAATAGTAAATTTTAAACTCAGATGATGATTCAGTTAAAAAAATCTCCATTAATATTTATATCAGTAATGCATGTAAAAATAATATGATAGCACATCCAGATACACATATATATGTATGTAAATATAAATTTATATCTAATATATCTTATCGAATTAAAATCATATAATCCAAATAATTTATTGGTGAAATGTAAATAATATTAATTACCTTTACTGTTTGTGTCAGAGTTGGTAGAACTTTGGATATTGCATCCATAGATGTTGAAGTTCCACTAAGAGAAGGCAATTTTTGATCAGAATCATCAGTACCGGTTTCCTGTTCAATTACAAGCATAGATGTATTTAATATATATTATAAAATGTATACAATAATCATATGTAAAAATTAGATTATACCTGTTTAATAGGTATTAAACTTATTGAAGGAGTAATGATTTCATTATTATTAATAGCTCCATGTTCCTGATTAACTGAAATTGTAGCCGCATTATTATTAGAATCAGCTGATTGTGGTGATTCTGGTGTTTCATTACTCAAGTTAGGCAAACAAGTTGGTAATTCCTGTTGTATTGAAGAACGCTGTAAAAAATGTTTACAAAATATTATACTTATTAACAATATTAATTGAAAAAACAGAAGAAAATGTTAATGTGGTACAAAATAAAATTATGTAATGCAATTAAAAATATAATTTAAATAATTCATGCTAAGAAATTGTACTGTTGTACAGAAGAGCAAGGTTCTATAAGTTCAAGTTTTGCAATGAAAGAGATTTTGCAAATCCAAGCCAGTAAAATTCTTTCATTGTGTTCATAACAAAGTAAAAAAAAAAAATTAGAAAATAACCAGTGCAAAACTATTAGTAAAATTATTATTATTATTATAATTCTTACTCCGGGATTATAAGCTGTTTCAGCCATGCTGATTTCAACATGTGGTGTTAAATAATGCATTGGTGGTGTAGCATTATCAGTTGATCTATCATCAGCGGAATCACCACTTTCACTAGCTTGGCCCGCTTCATTGTTATCTATGCCCGTTAGCAATGTCATAGTAGCTGGCCCAGGATTATCTAAATCTACGCCATGTCTAAAATAAACCATTTAAGATTATTATATGCTGTTAGGGCACATTGTAAACATGTAAATCTAATAAAATAATTTTTTTTTATTGATAGATTGATAGATTAAGTGTGCGTTCATAAACAGCCATTATCACAGTCCTGAAATGCTTTAAATGAATGCACAGTTGAAGCAATAAAACCACAAAACTATAAACAATAAAACTAAGAGGTTTAAAAACATTATATTGCATTTCCATCTTAGTAATTTTAGTTTATCTTAAAATTTTAAATATTAAAAATAATATAATATATTATTATTAACCAACCTATTAAAAAAATGAACTCGTAAAGCTTTCATAGTATGAGCTCGAAAACTGCAGAGTGGACATGTTTTTACAAGATCATGTTGACCTACATGCTCATTTTGGAAGTGAGCACGCATTGCAATCTGCCTTTGAAATCCACGAGCACATATAGGGCAATGAAAAGGTAGAGTTTTACTATGTGTACTAAAATGCTCTGCTAAATGATCTTTCCGGAAAAATCTGTTACAATTGAATGAATCAGCTTAACACATAAAAATACATGTAACACAAGCATAAATGATTATAAATACCTCTTCTGACACACTCTACATTCATATGGTTTAACTCCTGTATGACGCATTTTATGGCGCCTCATATTGGCGCCATTAGAAAACTTCATATTGCATACATCGCATTCAAACAGTTTACGCTGATGCCTAAAATAAATGAAATAAATTAGAATATAAGTTTCACATTGTAATATATACAATATTAAATAAACACACACTATATAAGTACTAAACATAGTGATATAAATAATTCAAAGTGAAAAATTCCATTGAGAAATCTGGTAAGTAGAAAGATGATATGATAAATGCAAAAATTACCTTCCACCATTCTGCACCTGCTCCCCATTTTCTACAGTTACAGTATTTAATGTAACTGTTTCTTTTTCTTGTGCTTCATCATTAACTTTAGACTCCGTCTCAAGAGGTTTTTTATCATTTTCCTCATTCGACATGTCACCACAAAAAAACTCAATTCTAAATAATGGTACATTAATAATTTTGATGAAAGTTTGAAAAACCATATACAATCTATGTTTCAGACATTATCTGCTCACCATAGTCAAATTTGATCGCATTGAGCTTGCACAACTCCCCATAACACATGCTAAGCAAGCAAATTCATCTCACAACCACCAAATTGCATTTAAGAGAAGAAATTTTAATATATCCTTCAAAACCGAAAGCCCAGATGTTCTATAATATTGCATATCTGATATCTAGAAATGAGTTATGTATATATGAGAAATTGACGTAACATCATACGCGTTTTAAAATTAAAATTATGTTAAATACGAGTGAAATTCATAAACCTGATTTATTGACTGCATAACACTTCTCCATTGAAACAAATTGTCAAAATAAATATTTTATATGTTACAATGATCAGAATCTAATTGTAAACGTGTGCTACAAAATTTTGCTGCAGAAGACATTATATCTTTTGCATTCAGAATAAAATAGTAACAACATATGTAAATATTGTTCACAAATAAAATGCATCTAATTTCATACACATGGTTTAAAATAAAAATATTACGGTAAAGTAGTAATTATAAACATAAATAAAAATGTTACAAACGATGTCTCCTAATTTGACAATTACTACCATAGAACAACATCGTACTCTTTGATAGATTGGCAACTCTACAAGTTTAACTTATTCAATATTCATTTTCTTAATTTCTTCTCTTGCCGTCACATCGCTGCTACCACATCGATTACTTTGGATTACTTTTTATGCTGCGTCCCCACCGCACGAATCTGTGTGGCGAATCCGCGATTCCTGTTCGCGACGCTCGCATGCGAGCAATTTGACATTTGACGTTTAAGTTGGTGATTGCGAGTACAGTTTGCTGTTGTTGTTTTTTATATAAGTGTTAAAGATTTGTTGAGTTATTAAAGCATAGTTAGTGAAAGTAAAGGTGGATGTTATTAATAACGATAAATATTTTAATAACATGTATTCATCTTGTATTTATATTTCAGCTTAGAAGAAAACTGATCGGTTTATGTTCAAGCGTTTGATTTTCGGTCTAGAAATAAACACTTTATTTCCAGGCTTGGTCTTTACAATGTGTGACCGCAGGCCAGACTCGAATATCATTTTGATGGCATATTGGCTCCTGAACGAAGATTCTACAAAGTCTTAAAGTCGCAAGAAAACGCCGTTATTGGATGGCGCATTAGGTCACTAATTTCCAATGAAAACACTGGTCATTTCCGAAGTTTTATGAGAATGTCAGAAGATTTTCAAATACTTATTGATATGGTAGGACCCAAAATTGGGAAATAAGATACGTCATTTTGATGCTGCATATCAGTCAAGGAGCAATTGGCTGTTACTTTGAGATTTTTGGCTACTGGGGATAGTTACACGAGCTTACAGTATTTGTTTCATATATCAAAGCAATCAATTTCAAAAATTATTCCTCGCGTTTGTGATGCTTTGATATCATCGTTGAAACAATACATAAAAGTAAGAATGATTATATATGGGCATATAATCCTCACACACACATATATATATATATATATATACAAATATATGTGTGTGTGTGTGTATGTATATACTTACACAAAAATAACAATTTATTTAAGATGCCAGAAACGGCAGAAGAGTGACTTGAAATTGCCTCAGGATATGAACGACACTGGAATTTTCCCAATTGTATTGGTGCAATAGACGGCAAGCACATAAGAATTGATTGCCCCATTAATAGTGGCACTGATTATTACAATTATAAAGGGTTTTTCAGTATTGTTTTGTTTGCTGAAGTAGATGCTAACTATAATTTTATATTTGCAGACATAGAATGCCAAGTTTTTAAAAATGCCCTCATATCTCAATATATGAATTAAATTTAAAGTTAAACCTCCCAGAAGCAACGCTACTCCCAGGTAGTCTGCAGAAATGCCCGCATGTGTTTATTAGTGATAGGGCATTGCCTTTAACCACTAAAATTATGAAACCATTTGGGGGGTTTCACAGCAAGGATACAAAGGAAAGAATTTTCAATTATAGGTTAAGTAGAGTGTTGTAGAAAACGTGTTCGGAATAATGTCCTTAGTTTTCAGAGTTTTAAGAAAGCCACTATGTTTGCAACCCGATAAAGCTCAGAAAATTGTATTGGCAACAGTTTTTCTACACAGTTTTTTGAGGGCAAGTAAAACTTCGAACTTATTGTACACACCGGTTGGATCTATAGACACTGATATAATGGGTCACATTGTCGAAGGTGAATGGCGAGCAAATCATGAAACAGCATTCAATAACTTTGAACCAATTGCAAGGCCAGCTTCTGCCATAGCTAAAGATGTAAGAGAAGATTTTGCAAATTATTGTTTAAATGAAGGCGCAGTGACATGGCAAAATATTTACCAATAAAATGAACTTCTCTTTTTAAACAACTATCAACAGTGGATATATATACGAGGTCTGTTCAAAAAGTACCCGGAATTTTCGTTTTTTCAAAAAAATATTTATTTATTCGTCTACATTAATGTGGTCCCCTTCAAAGTAGTCCCCCCCAGATATAATACACTTATGCCAGCGTTTTTTCCAATTTTCGAAGCACCCTTGATATTCACTTTTTGATATGTCCTTGAGCACTCTCAGCGATTTTCTTCAATCGAGGAAAACCGCCGTCCTTTCATGGGTCTCTTCAACTTTGGGAATAGGAAAAAGTCACACGGAGCCATATCTGGTGAATTTTTGCACTTTGCAACACTTTATTTCATTTTTTACGCAAAATTTAATACAAATTCTTTGACTTTTCAATTCTTCCATTGTAAAAATCGCCGAGCTCAGAAAAACACGTCGAACCTTAGCGACTACCACAGACAAAGTAAACAGTGAATATAGCTGAAAATTTCATCATACTTTAGGGGCATGTATACCAACACAATAAAAAAAAAATTTTGACAATCAGACACTCCAGACCCGCGAAATTTAATTATTAGTAATTCCGGGTACTTTTTGAACACACCTCGTATATATATATATATATATATATATATATATATATATATATATATATATATAGAATTAGAAACTATCAAGATATATATAGAATATAAATTGTATTTTATAAGTGTATAATTGTATTGTAACTGTAATTACAAAATGTGCATTAATAAAATCATATTCCACTATAAAACTATTTAATTAATAAAAATTTACATAAACATATAAATAATGAGCTAGTGTCCGAAAAAGTTACAAATTCGCTCAGGTTTTCTACCAAATCATCTGTTATCGGGTTCACAATTTTTACTTTCTTCTCTTCAACGACTTTATTTTTGGCTTCACACAATACATCCATTAATTGTTTTTCTATATTCATTCTGACGTCGAGAGAATGAACCACTCTAAACTTTCGGCCATATATAGTACAAAATGGTTTTGTTTAGAAGGTTGTTGTGGTTGTTCCGGTTGTTCTTTAGGTTTATTGCATTCCATTATATACTGTAAGAATTGAGTTTCTAACGAAGTGTCCTTGTCATCCTCTGGCTTTTTTTCTTTTTTTTTTGGTGGCGATACAAATTCGTCATCTGACGATATAGTACTTTCGCTATTCTGATATCGTGCTCGAATAACGAAGTGGCCTGTGAACATATGGAAAAATTCATTTTTAGTAACTGCCAGAGGAGATTTTTATGTTCTCTTGACATTTCAAGAACGGCTTTTTCAAGAATCCTGAAAAAAGAAGGGAACTGGATTGGACCCGTTCTGTTCTAAAGAGTGCCTCCTGCACGACGTCGTGGATGGTAAAATAGAAGGGCTGAAGGGATTGGTAAAGAGAAAATACAGGGTACTGAAAACCAAAGTGCAGGATCAGGAAGCATGGATGAAAGACTACCATTTATTTATCTTACATATAAAAATGGAGCTCTCTTTCAAATGTCCGAATAAAACTCGAAAACGGCTGAATCGATTTGGCCAGTCTTAGTCTTGAAAAATTCGTGCCAATCCAGAAAAAGTCCAAAAGGTGAGAAATTATTTTAAATCTGTGTAGAAACTTTACATTTTTGATTTGAAAATTTTTGTAGAAGCGTAATTTAAATAAAACAATGGGACGGTGGCAATTTCGTGAAATTTCAAGTTTTAAGTTTAATAGGATGTTTCACGCGAATATTATTTATTTATGATAAATTTGTAGTAAGTAGTTTTGTTTGTAGTTTTATTTATATACAAAAACGTTAGTAAACGGGCCGCAAGTGTTACTAGAGACTCAAAATATAAACTTTTTTGATATGTTAATATAAAAATGCACTTTTTGGCATATTTTTCTCAAACACGATACTCTGAAAGATCTCATTTGTATAATTATATACTCATTGGTATTTATAAAACATTTTCTAGGTTATATTATTTTTTATAAATTTTATAAATTTAAATTCAGAAATTTGGTATCGATCAGATGGATATTTTGTCGAATAACATTTTTCCAGTTATAATTTCCCAGAATTTATCACAGAATAGATATTAATATATGAAGGTCTGGGATTAAAAAGGTCCACCACCGATGTGCCAAAAATCAGTAAAGTTAAGGATTGTTTAACAACAATATTTGAAAGTAGAGGAAAAAAGATGTATAGCCAGCTACAAACTTGATTTGAAAACGATAATCTTTGAAATGGGGGAGATAAATGGTAATCTTTGAAAATCCATAATAAAAGTATTTTCTTCCGTTGGTAGTTTTAGCATTAGTTAAAATTATAATAAGGCTTTAAACCTTTGTCACCTGCCCATTACAAGTTACCCCGCATATAGGATAAAAAGGTCTAGATAACAAATTTTTGGAAGACATCAAAAAAGCACATTTCTACAATGATGAAGTAGAAGTCAGTCTACTGAACGTAGTCAGATAATTGTTCGTTTGATATGTCTTATTTGTTGTGATATAATTGTTATGGTTTTCACAATATAGTTTATATTTGCTCAAAGTCAAATTGGACCTTTGTGCCTCGCCCTGCTCTACATATATACTTTTTATTAAATTTACTTTAATTCATCGAATGTTACTTGAAACTTTTCAAAAAGCAGGTCAAAGAAGAAATACTTAATTCATTTATTATCTCTCCTCGCAAAAATTTGAAAATTTTGTATAAGCTCAGTAGTATTATTTACAATTATACACAAAATCCAGAATCCAAAAAGAATCTGAAAAACTTGAAACGTGATTAATAAGCCGAAAGATCAAAAAAGACTCGGATTGGATTATACGATGTTTTCTATAGAAAGTGTATAAAACTTGCAGTTTGATTGTATTGACAAAATATAGACAAACTAATGGGGTTTATTGTTTTTATAATACCTAATTGTATACAGCATTCAAACAACACATCCTTATGCACTTAAAGTATTAACATTTTTGATTCTCTAGAAATGGTTTAGAATATACCTTATTTAGCAAAACAACGTTTGCCGGGTCAGCTAGT